CATTTATAGTACATGTATTCTTGCATATGTTTATATACATTGCAAGAGAGAATGCACGATCATATATCTAGAGAAATGTGCATGCTTGCAAACATTTTTTAAAATAAACTTTCCAAATTTTAAGACCACAGGTCAAGGCCAATTGTAGGAGAGTTGGAATAAAAACTTCAATAAAACAGTGGCTTTACATCTTGAATTTTTAGAATATACATGTATATTTTATATGTTATGAGACTGTAGAAAATACAGCAGCACTGATCATGCTGATGTAGGAATAGAATCAAATTAAAATGCATGTATGCATCTTTTAAATATCATGTATAATGACAAAATTATAACAGGTATCAAAAAAATATAGAAATAATAGAACGATGGTTAACAAGCATTCTGTGAGCATTGCCATAGCAATACTAGTCCCCTATTGGCAAGTGAAATCTGGTTCCCATGAAAAATTGAAAATGTCCTAATTCAGTTAAAATTCAATGAAGCGGAATGAAATTCAAACTTGATCTATCAATTAATTTAAAGTCTTAAAACAAAAATTACCTCAATATGTTTAAGCTTTAAAAAAAAAAAATGGAAAACCATTAAAAATTTAAAAGGTCATAATTCCGTCAAAAATCAATGAAGCAAAACCAAATGCAAACTTCATCTATAACTCATCAGGATACATTCACATACCAAAAATGAGCTCAATATCTCCAAGCGTTTAGAAAAAAGTACGGAAAACCAAGTGGGACAGACTGACAGACAGAGAGACAGCTACGCAATTAGACAGACAGACAGATGGGCAGACAGACGAAGAGGAAACCTCTAGTGCCCTCTGGTTTCACTGGAAGGGGACTAATAATCAGATTGCTTTAAAGCAATATTCATTCCCCTTAACACACTGCATACTTTACAAATAATTCCTAAATTGCACGTAAATAAGTATTTCAATCAACTTAATTTCATACGAATATTTTTTAAGACTAGTCAATATATAAAATATTAATTATATTCAACTAGTAAATCTGTATTACAGTCTGAGTCATGTCAATTAAGATATATACCATATTTATAGCTAGATATAGGCTGCTTGAATTGAATCATTATCAATAACATATATATACAGGATGAAAACAAAGGAAGCATAAAACTTGTGAATAAGAAACATCTTCTATGATTTTTCAGCTTTATGAAGACTAAAGTGTATATACATGTATATTCATGGTGGAGGTTATTGAAATGTGTTTCTCACGTTCCAGCATGCACCATGCTTTTGAAATATAATCTCCAAATATTTCATTTTATAATTGAAATGCATACTGCATGTATATATACAGTGTACTTTACATGTAAACAATAATGCACATTTATAATTAACACATCATAACTATGATTATCTTGCTTAGTGCCAGGTTTGTGTCATCATATTGTACAAAAATCAGGAATAAAAAAGTTACTTTCCTCATTTTCATTACACGTTTTTATAATTTATCTAATAGACAGAATTATTTATTGACAAATAATACTCAAGAATATCATGTTTTCTATGTGAGAAAAGTGAGAAAAAATTATTAGAGCAATTAAAAGAAAAAGAATAAAGGTTTTCAACCTAAAGATTCTTATAAACAATTGACTTTATAATTTTGAAAGAAGAAGTAGGGAATAGTGAATCTGCAAACAGAAATATGAGATCCCGGGTTTCTGATTGAACACTGTGAAAATGAAGTTGTTTACCGAAAAACCGGAAGTGCATACATTTATATTTCTGATTATATTTTAATGAATCTAATTCACTGAAAACTCCTAGAAATATTGCTTTCTTATTATTTTAATAAGAATGACCATTTAAGACTTAGCTTTTGTTTAACGACTTATGCGCGTCATCATGCGCAGAAGGCGCGAATTTTTAAACCCACTACCTACCTTGAGCGTTGACTGAAGCTGTAAGCGTTTCCATTTGGAAACCCTCCTGTGTCTACCTGACAAAGAATTCTCAAATCTTTTAAACTGGAAAATAATAAATTTAAAGTAGTCAAATTTAGTCTCAAGCACATCAAAGGTAAAGTTGAACAACTGATTTTGCACTAACACTAATGTTCTCAGACTTGTATGTGAAACATATCTAAATACGTCCGGTATAATTTTCTTCCAATTATTAGAGGTCAGAAGGAGAACCTGTAAGGATGACGTCATATTTTTTAATAATCTCGTAGAATGAAATATATGGAGATAACGAACAGTATTCAAGCTCAAAAGTCTATCAAACATTACAAAATAGGTGCAGAGCGAACACGGACCTCCAAAACATCAGAGGTGGCATCAGGTGCCATGGAGGAGTGAGCATCCCCTGCCGACCGGTCACACCCGCCGTGTGCTCCTTGTCATGATCGGGAAATAACGGAAAAATCCGTCGACAATTCAGTATGTAAATAATGGCCTAACAATTAGTATGAAAAACGTTAGTCAGCATTTGACTCAATGATAAATTGTATTTGCTGACAAGGTCATTGTATCGACCATAGAACTTACGAAATGATGACTTTAAACGAGACTGCTGAAATTCTTGTTTCATCAACTTCTTTGTCAATAATTTACCTCGTTTTAAAAATTGTACATACGTAGAGCATGCTCTTGCATATCGAATCAACTGAGAGATATAAACGCCGTATGCAGGTGATGATGGTATATTGCTGCATAAGTAAGGGAAGTTGACGATTGAAAAGTTAAAGTCATCACGTTTATCATAAAGCTTGGTTGTTAGATTACCATTAACGTCCTTTTCAAGTAAAATGTCCAAATATGGAACAGATGTGTCAGACTCTTTAGTATCTTTTATCTCAAGCTCATCGGGATATATCGTATCGACATAAGAATGAAAATAACCATTGTTAATTGACAATACGTCGTCGATATATCTAAATGTCGAGTTGAAGGCCACAGCAAGTGTTTTCTTCTTTTCACGTATAAGACTTTGGACAAATTCTGCTTCATATGAATACAAAAAAGGTCTGCTGATAACGGGGCGCAATTGGTACCCATGGGAATTCCAATAGATTGTTGGAAGACCTGGTCTCCAAAAACCATAGATATTGTCAATCAGAAACTCAAGCATCTTTCTAATGTCAACTTCAGTGTACTTGTGTGTACAATCAGAATGTTATTTAACAAAATAATTTTGCATATGACCAATGACAAGGTAAGTAAATTCACGAGTTCCATTTTTTTTATTGAAAAAGCAGATGTCAATGATATCAAAAAGCTTGGATTTTAATTTATCGTGGGGGAATGGTTCTGTATAAAGTTGAAAAGTCGCAAGTTTTAAAGCTGTTGATTTTGGTAAAATCTTGTGATTTCAAATTTTCCAAAAGTTCCTTGGAATTTTTAAGTACCCACATCTGATTTACACCACTTCTCGAATAAATTGTTGCATAGTACTCTTGAAGTTTCCCCTCCACTACTGTTAATATCTTAGTGAGGAGTAAAGAAAGAGGCTTGGTTTAACATTTACTGGAACCCGCTATGCATCTTTGTTTGTAAGGATTTTTATGAAGTTTCGGAATCCAATATAGGTATGGTTGTTCAAATTCATTTTGGTTGTTTGGAATATTAAAAATATTCAAAACTGACATATGATTTTGAAGAATTTCTTCCTTAGAAAGAGAACTATGAGTATAAGTTGGATTACCACTTGTAGAATTAAATCCAAGTTCCTCTAAAATACATTTAATATAATGAGCCTTACAAACAAAGACAATGTTGTTACCTGCTTTGTCAGCAGGGACCAGTATGTACTGATCATGTAATCTATCTAATTCTTTTTTCACTTCTGGATTATTGAATACAGAAGAATAGATGGTTCTTATATTGCCTCTCAATCTTTTAATGCGCAATTTTAACATACATCTGATATATTTAATCCATTCTGACAAACTGTCAAGGTCTTCTTTTTCATGTCTGGCCCATCGCCTGGCGTAATCCTCTACAGAATCCATAATATTTATGAAATTCCGACGCCAGTTGAAGGATCGGGGTTCCCTATATTTAGGACCTTTTAAAATTAGTGATCTAAGGTCCTCATTATTAACTATATTTACGTCACCAGTAATAATGTGTCCAACAGGACTATAGTTATAGGGTGAAGAAGAACATGAACACGATGGAGGATTATGTTTCAGATATTCGATATCCAGGCACTGTAAAGTTTTCTTGTAATTAAAAAGTTTGGAAGCAATAGTCGATGTATATTTGTAGGAAATACAAGGTGTAGTCTTTAACTTGAAATATGGTGGAATACAAGACTGGACCCTTTTGTGATTAAAGATATTACTTATATTAACCACGTCAATTCCTTTGTTGGCATATTGAAGTTTAAGGAAAAAAGACCGTTTTAGCGGCTTCTTCTTCGGTAAAACGTGGGGGTCACAGAATCTGTGATGAAAGTTTTTTATTGTGAGTTTTTCGAAATTTTGGAAAATCGTGACTCCAAGTATTCCAAATTCAAATGTTCAAGCCTTAATGTTTCTAAAGGGAGACTTGTCAGACTTTTAAGCTCGTCTGCCGTTTAATTGTGACGTGTGAAATACCGGAAGGATACGTCTGATATGTGTGGGAATCTGGGACGAAACTGCAATGGTTGCTTCTTTTTTGCGGGTCTGCATATGGCTGAATGGACATTATGGTCACAAAAACACTTTCCAAGATTACAAGAGGTAACAGTCGGTGATATGGTTTTGAATAGGTGAAGAAAAAGAGGAAAACACATTTTTCATGTCAAACATTGTTAAAATACAGTTTGTAAAAAGTACATAGAAAAAAGAAGAAAAAAGCGAATATGTTTACATACCTATTACTCTCTCCACCCTCACTGCCTTTCTTATTTTTGGTGGCAGGTTCCCCATCCTGGCACACACTAGTGGTAGTTCGTCTGAGTATTGAAGGGTCCTTGTACATTAAGAAACATGCAAAATGTATTTTCCCCTCGAAATTCTCAACAACTATATCTCCATGTTCTATCATTTGAAAACATGCCCCTGAAATTCATCCTCCAGAACTGCTGAACACAGCTCTTCGTCATATATAACATGATTAACATCAGTTACAAAGGGAGTCTTGTCCTCCTCTGAACGTGCAACCTCACTATAATAGAAGATCAACATAATTGAAAGGCCATCATGTTTCAACTGTAATAACCCTTACCCATTAAATAATATACAAATCTATCTCTTTCCTCACTGCCTTCTCTATATTCTTTGACGAAGTCCACACCCTCGCGAACATGTCTGAGTATTGAAGGCTCACTGTACACAAAGAAGTTTATTACAACGAAAATTGAATATGGTAATGTCAAATATTCATAATATATGCCACATTTAAGTATAATAATTCTCTTTTTCTTCAAAGTTCTCTTCATCAATTTCTAGCACTTGAGACATACCCTTGAAATTCTACCTCCAGGACTGCCAAATCCAAATCTTTGTCGTATAAAACATCAGTTACAAAAGGGGCAATGTCCTCCTCTAAACGTGAAACATCGCTACAATAACAACAACAATAACTATGAAACAATACCACCATCATTGATTGGCCATAATATATATTTCTACTTCACAAACCATTCAAGTAGTCTAAAAAATTTCTTTCTTAAAAGCAGTTTTTTCTGCATTCGTCAAACTTTTCTCGGCAAAGTTTTTATGATGTGACCTGCTCTCCTCTCCATTACATTCAGGTTTTTATGAGATATATATCGGAGATCCGGTGTTGTGAGAAAGTTATTCACTCTCTGGGGTCCTCCAAATGGAGTCGATCATAGCTACATCGATTATTCATATTCTTTTATATAAGGTTTTTAAGATTCTCAAATCAAAAATTGAACAGTTATTTTATATTCTACTTATATGTATTTCAGCTATCCACATCATTTTGAATTAAAAAAGTACCTGCTACAAACCTGGTACTTGCTGTAAAGTTCTGTTGATCCCTCTTGTTGTGATCGATGTATGAACTGCCATACGCAACTCTGTTCATGGAACCACAAAGGCTACATTACAAATAACCATCTAATCCCATCTTCATCTCTCCTTTTGCATGTTGTGGTGTAAAAAGAAGCGGACCCAAACGACGATTAGTGCAGGACTGGAGGTCGTTAACTTGGGAAGCCCATTTTACTATACACGTCCCATTTGCCAGTCATTTGTTTTGATCTTCGTCGAAGATTTAAGTGACGAGAATCCAAGACAGCAAAGGTCACAACTATCCTGATTGTCATCGTGAAAATTGCATAATTTTTGTCTTAACCATTGGCTCATTTAAATTTTTGTTAAATTTTTGTTATTTTTCTTAGGGGCTGGCCTATCTTTTCTCTTTTTATCAGAGTAAAATGGCCCCGAGTGTCTCACGGCACTTTATCACTTGAGCCGCCATTGCTGTCACTGGAGATCACGCTTGCTCGAGATCGGACTTGAATTCGTGCAAATAATTTTTAATTTTGACTTAAATACTATTTTATTTGCATTTCAATCGTTTTGGATGAATAATTGCATATATTGTGTTAAAATAACGTTTTAAAGTTCATTTTGTTAAAATTACGGAGAATATGGACAGGACCCTGAATGTACCGACATGAAAGGATTTGTCAAGTGGTCTAATGTGATTCGGATACCTTAAAATCAAGCTAATTATAGACGCTATTTGTTTGGAAGTCACAGGAAATCGACTGCATGGTTAATGTTTTTTTCAACAATTAACACTATTGCAAGATTAGTGTGAAAAAGTCGTTCCGATCCTTGAAAAATTGCCGTCCGGATGAACGAGTCATTTTTCAATGAAATGCTACGTTTTGTAGAAGAAATCGACCACCTGGATGCGGAGCGCGATTTTCCCGATAAATGAGACAGAACAACATGGAAAATCGGTTTTCAAAAAATATCGTCAGGAACGTGCAGTGTCCGGATTAATTTCGTCCGAATTAACGCGGCGCAACTATACATGTCGGTATAGTTTTTAGGGGGTGGGGGCAATAAAACTTTTTTGGACTCTATTTTGACTCTAACTTTTGAATTTATGGGAGCTAATCATTTCACTACTGGCCTAAAAAATTACTCATAGTGCCACGTTTAACTGATAATTTCTGATAATTACTGATATTATACTGTTGGTACTGAGAATTTCTGATATTTGCTGATATATTTACTGTTGTTACTGATAATTGCTGTTGGTTCTGATAATTACTGATATTTACTGTCGTTTTTACTGTGGGTTCTGATAATTACTGATATTTGCTGAGAGTTACTGTTGGTACTGAGAATTGCTGATAATTACTGAGATTATTTTCCAAGTTCATGAAATGTAAAATTTAGAAAAGACCGGGGGTGGATGGATTTAATAAATTAAACAAATTAATTTAATTCTATAATTTATTCTTTATATTTTTTTTTAAACCCGTGATTATTAAGAATTTGTAACTTGAGTGACAGCAAGGAAAGTATACATTTTGTCATAAAAAAATATTTTTAAAGTAATCATATACATGAAAAAAAAACTTAAATATCTCTCTCTATAAGAAGATTCAATCTGCCACCCCCCCCCCCCCCCCACCCCACCCCTCTCATTTCATCCTGTTCCTTAGTTCCCAGGGACTTACGTGTATTTTTTCAATCGATGACTCGTAGGCCTAAAACGGACGTAATAAATCAGTTTCTTATCATAAAAACCAATTAAAAAAATTAATTGGATTCATATTTAATCTATACATATGATGCGGTGATGTTGGACATGGAGATCGGTCCTTCGGATGGGACTGTACATGTATAAACCGCGGTCTTCTGTCAAAGTAGGTGCTGGCACAAAAAAGATTCTTCGGTGATCAAATACACGAGTAAGTGCAGATTCACGAGAAAGATCCCTCTCTGCTCTTTGTTTATAAGTGCAGAGTACAGATCGAAATATGCAGGAGGCAGATTGCTCATAAATAAAAAATGCCGCCGTGTACATGTCAAAAGTTGAACACGGAAGATCATGCCACTGATTTATGAACATATACATACACATGTAAGTGCTGCGTACAAGTCGAAATTCGCAGCTTTTAATAGGAAAATAATTATAGCGTCCCAATATGAGTGAAACGTTATCTAAAGAACACATGTAAAAAAAAAAAATTAAAACCGTTCATTTTCAATGCCATATAAAGTACTGCAGTTATTTGTTTCAGTAAATTCTTGATCCGCCGCTCTTAAGTATTATAAGCGATTGGATAAAAGTAAGTCAAGATTGATACATCACCAGTCCGTTCACACATTGTAATGTTGAACATTTTCTACAGCATTACAGATTTTCATCGGAAACATGTAACAAGTAGTTCAAAACCTTTACTTGTTAAAACAGATACCGTATAATAATGTTTCTCGAATGCATTGATCATGATTCCATTTGTGTCGTCAAAGATATTTTTAAAAAATAAAGATTTCTCATGGACTGTCAGTAAATATTCGATACTCATAAAACCTCAGCGTAATTATTTCATATCCTTAGAAAAATTAACACAATTCATATATCATTTTACTGAACATGTATTGTCGTTAAAATAAATAAAATTAATCTTAATGCTAATATTTTATATGTTTTAATTGTTGGATATCTTAAAACGGGCTAATTACACGAAGAAGCTTAACCTTAAGTTTGTAGCAAATAAGTTTTGAAAAGGGGAGGGGGGGGGGGGGCACGCGCGATCTATTATCATCCTAAAATGAAGTATTAGAACTTTTTCCAACAGAATTGGTTTCTGGAAATAGCGCTTCCTTAATCAATGATGTGTCTTATTTAGGACTGAGTCTCTTTTTTGAAAAAAATATTTCGAAGATTTTTGCAGAAGGGTAGACATTTACATGTGTAAATGAGGACATACTGTACAAGTAGAATACACACGGAAGTATTGTTGATTTGTATAGGAAAACAAAAGATCTGGAATATTTTTATACAAAGTTTAGCGTCTTGAAGGAGTTAATTGAAACAAGCCAAGGAATATGCAAGGATTTGGCGTCAAATAAAATTTATTTATTAAACTTGAAAATGAAATAGTATTTTCACAATGTCATGTAACAGAGAATTAGCATGTTATATGTCAGTATGAATTATTTCTAACTTAATTCACAATCTATCCCTCATTTACAGTTACTGCGACTTATTTTCCTGTTGCACTTAGATTCATCAGAATATTAAAATAAGATTTGTTTTACATGAAAAAGTTCAAAATCCTGTTTGATTTACCACAAAAATATTATTATTCATCCCAAATGTTACAAGTATAATTATTTTAGTTTCTGAGTTCTGTAGTTTCTGATTACTTTTGAACACAGTGACGGGGTACTACATGTATGGGTATTGTACACAAACGGAAGCGCTGTTACATACACTGTACGGTGGCAAGAAAATAACGCAATAGGTGTCACTACTGTATATATACATGTATGACATGGCGAGTGAGAGAAAAGGGCACTCGAAGGCCGGGACTCACCGGATATCACTAACAGTCAGTTACGCAACAAGGAAATGACAGGTGGATAAAAATGTATGAAATAACGAACATGAAATATCTCTCTGTGTTATATATCTCACTTTCGTTCATGGGTTCGTTCATTTGCGAAAAAAGAACAGAAAGACAACAATTACATGAAAAAATAAAGAATTTAAATGTATCAAAATATGATGTTACATGTATCAACACTATACTTGTAAACTAGAACGTTTAAGCTAAAATTGTAGGGGGGGGGGGGGGGGGATTACTTCTATTTTTATATTTCCGGCTAAGCTTGATGAGTAAAACTCATAATTAAGAATGTCTCTTTTCAGAAGAAATAAATTCGTTACATATAAACAGATAGATAAATGAATGAAAAAAATGTTTATCCGTGTAACAGTCTACTTCGGGGTAAAGGGGAAGTAATTTAGTTTAAGTAAACAAGGGTCCAGGATGTATAGAATATGCAGTGTCAAACTTCATATTTCCGTGGTTCTAATCTTTTTATTTCTCCTCGAGGTTGGGTACATGTTATTGTGCATTATGGGGTATAATAAGCAGAATTCTTAACATGAATATTTATTTATTTGTTACAGGGTGATGGGAATGCATTTTTTTCGGTTTTAAAATTCTTCTCAATATAATTTAACATTACATCTAAGAAATGTTTTATTATTTAGATATTTACTTCAGATCAAGGTATAGACTCAAAGAAGACGTAGTTCAAGAATAATGCCGGGACAAGCACACATCTGTTGCATGTAATGAACTAATTGGAAGGAAATTTTAGAATTCTTTTCTGAAAACAATTTACATCAGGCACCGTTGTGATTAGTGAAAAAAGTACTTATCATTTGTATAATTATATTAATTTTCTAAGACTTGGAAGTACTCTTGAATATCTTCAAAATGAAAAAAAGAAATAAATAGATCGGGATATTGTCTTCTTCTCTAAATTTATTTCTGTAATCAAAGTTCTTTCAGTTGTAAGCATTAGATATAAATTACATCCTCTGTTCTTTGTTTTTGAATTTAAATTAAAAATTGTTTAACACGCCCGTGGGAAGCGAGAAAGAGTGACCGACTTCCAGATATGTTTACTGCAATACTTCCATCAGACTCATTATTATAATAATATGTGTGTGTCTTCTAAAAACGTCCTGTAATATTTGTTTGTTTTGTATTTATTGTTTTATTATTTTTTTTTTAAATAAGTAATCCTTTATTTAATTTTTTTTGACAAGAAATTCTGAAAGCGCTTTCAACAGAACTTTTTTATGTATAACAACTACTGCACTGAAAAAATGAGTACAAGCTTTAAAGGATTATTTTTTAATTACATGTAAAACTATTATTGTAGCAGGTAGAGTTTAACAAGTCTTTAAAAAGTTTCATCTACCAGTTTTTTTTTTTTTTTTTTTCTGAAATCATGTTTTAAAATAAGAACGATTCCTAACGATTTTAACGGATTTTCTTTCCTCATTCTTCCTTTCAACCAATTCCCCTCCATTTGTAGTCATTGTTAGGATTGTTTTACATCTTCTGGGTGCAGAAAAATATTCTCAGTAATTATCAGCAATTCTCAGTACCAACAGTAACTCTCAGCAAATATCAGTAATTATCAGAACCCACAGTAAAAACGACAGTAAATATCAGTAATTATCAGAAATAACAGCAATTATCAGTAACAACAGTAAAAATATCAGCAAATATCAGAAATTCTCAGCACCAACAGTATAATACTAGCAAATATCAGAAATTATCAGTAAAAAGTGGCACTATCAGTAATTATTTAGGCCTGTAGTGTTTACGATAACTTTCCATCATTGCCAAGAATTGTAAATCTACCTGTACATCCAGTGTTAGAGAATCCATAGTGGTATGGCTGACACTGGTCACACTTGAGTCCTGTAACGCCTGGCCGACACTGGCACTGTCCTGTTACCTGATTACAAACGTCTTTCAAAGATCCCAACGGATCACAATTACAGCTCTCACAGCCTGTAGACATAAAGATTTATGAAGTAATCCCTAAAAGTAAACTGGTAAAAGTCATAACAAGAGGCCCATGAGCCACATCGCTCACCTGAGCATTTTGGCTAGGAGAAAGCAGAATTCAGTTCAGTATTCAAAAGTTTAAAAATATAAGTAGTCCCAACCTACATGTATAAAGAGGGGTCATGAATTGAACAAATTTGAGTCTACACTATCTGAAAATGCTGCCATATAAATATGACCAATCGTCGCTTTGCTGTTTTTGGGAAGGGGATTTTAGAGATGTTTCAAATATATTCCAATGTAAAACTTTGGTAGCCTACTGTGACCTCATTCTAGCTCGATGGGGGGGGGGGGGGGTTGGTTCTTGATTTGATTAAAGTTGAATCTACACTATCTGAGGATAGCCCACATGTTTTATATCTTCTGGTCCATCGGATTTTAGGAAGAATTTTAAACGATGTCATAAGCTTTTCACAGTTTCACATTGATCTCCCCTTTGAAGAAGGCGTTGCCTTTCATTTGAAGATTCTTGGATTTCCTTCAAATAAGGATACTTTTTTGCAAGTTTGGTTGAAAATGGCCCAGTGGTTCTGTACAGGAAGATGAAATTGTAACAGTTAACGACGACAATAACAACGCCAACGACGACAGACAACAGACAAATTTTGATCAGAAAAGCTCACTTGAGCCTTCGGTTCAGGTGAGATAAAAAATATAAGCAGAGCTGCATGTTAAAAATGAACTCATTTTTATCCGTAATATAACTTATTTTTAAATCGTTGTGTGTCAAAACTGAATAAACAGTAACATAGCTTATTTTCAAATCTTTATGTGTCAAAACTGAATAAACATTGACATTTATATGAAAATAGAAAATTCTTTGGCTTGGAATTTTTTGCGTACGATTACAAGATTTCTTTCCTGATGGGTCAACTACATGTGCATAGGAACAAGAAATATATTTTTGATTTACGTTGAAAGCTGGAAACACACACAAACAAGGTCATATCAAAATATTTCTGTGGATGCACATGCACGTGAATTGGGCCATTTACCTGTCCCCGTGTTGATGTTCCAGTATCCCTCTTCACATAAGTCACACTGTCTCCCCACCACATGGTCCTGACAGGTGCACTGTCCATTTCTGGAGTCACACTGCAGGCCGCTAATCTCTAGTGTTCCAGGGGGATAGCAGTTACAGGCTAAAACAAGTTCAATGGTCAAGACTTGATATTTCATTAAGACTTAATAAAGAATTTTTTTCATACTGTCAACCATTTCTAATGATTTTATTTTTACAAGACACTGAACTAAACGTAGAGTTCTGAAGTAACCAAATGTTTAAATTTTTAAAAACAGAATTTAACTTTACTTGAAGAAAATCTCAGGAAAATAGATGAACTGGAAAACAAAGATCCTGAAAATAAAGCAATTTACAGCAGAAAATTAATTACCTGTGCAGTTCCCTTTAGGCATGGCTAAGGCATCACCATAGAAATTTGGTAAACATTTCTCACAATAAAATCCATCAGTGTTGTAGATACACCTTAAACATTCTCCACTTCGTCTGAAAGTAGATAATTTCATATCATTAAGCATTATTACACAAGGTTTTTCAGAACATGAAATGGATTTGTTAAATCTTTTATCCTACTTACGAATCACAGTTGCGGATGGCATGTTGGTCAATGTTCTTATTACAGAAACACTTCTGACAAGCTCTGTAATCCGCATGGACCCCATGTCCTTCTTTAGGATTTCCATGGTAACCATCCAAGCAAATATCACACAGATTTCCTATAATTAAATATAGAAATGAACATTACAATAAAGCTTAAGAACTATGTTTTCTTTTCAAAGGAGCTTTAATGCTCATTTGAGATACTCTACCGAATGTCCACTGATAATTCGTAACACCCTCTTTAAAAAATATCGTGACTGCTTTTAAATCTTAACATTGAAAGTACAGAATTTATCAGTCTTTGCCTTTATTTGATATAACGCATAACAATCAATATTTAGCATTTTAAGATGTCCTACATTATACTTAAACCTACTCTGAATATAACTCAGGGTAAATGGCAATACTTACCCCCATGGCCTTCTTTACAGGCTGTACATACAACATCCCCATTGTGTAGCTGGGTACAGGGCCCTCCATCAAGACAGGGACACGGCTTGCAGTCATACTCAGAGCCATTTTTAGGGTTACCATAGTAACCTGCAATACATCTCTCACAGAAATCTCCCTCTGTATTGTGCTGACAGATACATCTTCCTGGAAGCCAAGAGTAAAAATCATGAGTTGAATAAAATAAGGTTAGTTTCAATTAAACATTATTAAAGAAACTTTCTTTTGAATTTCCCATAATGTTTTTATACATATTTCACTAACTAAGCAATCCTTTTTGAAGATTTTTACGATCAACCTTAAAATTTGACAAGTTTTCCTCAGTTTATCTTTGTAATTCTCAATGATTTAAAAGAATAAAATAACAGAACCTGAATCTGGGTCACAGCTATCTGAGTGTCCAACACATTGGCAGGGCACACAGGAAGAGAATGGGCCACTATTGGGAGGGTCTCTCTTGTATCCCCCAGCACATGACTCACAGAACTGTCCTACAAATCCCTCAGGGCATGTGCACTGCTCCACCCAAGTGGCTGGGTCTTTCCCATTTGACCCAGCTCTAGCAGTTTCCAACCTAATGTTGTCAATGAAACCCACTCCTACAAACAGGGTTATGAGAATCATTCTGAACAGTCAAGGTTAATGAATGAATGAATCTTTATATCTGCTTTACCTAAAAGTACGAGGGTTGTTTGGAAAGTTCGTGGACCATGTCAATCTTCGTTATATTACTTTCAAAAAAATTTAAAAAATGAGCACATTATCATATGTGAAAATATCTATTTTGTTGATGTGTAAAGTGTCATACCATTCGATTTAATAGCAATCAATTTACTTAATTTTAAAATCGACATGTTTGGTCACCCCGGAGCAACATTATAACGTAAAAACATAGCGACATGAGGTTCTCAAAAATATTCTCCCTATAAATTTCACAGTCTGATCCAATATTCACTTATTAAGAACGTTTTTCTATCAATTGAATTTTATTTTGCTTAGCATTGTTCCAGGGGCATTATTTTGTTTGTCAATGTTTTTTTACCGCGTAACTGTGCTCTCACAAAATCAGCAACTGTGAAGTGCTTTTCTCTTTCCATCTTACCAAATTTGAGTTTTTTTTCAGATGTTTACAGACAATCCATTACCTCATAGATTGTTCTCGTCTGATACAGAGTCTATACCATTCAAATGCCGCCTGGGCCATTTACACACACACATGCAGGGATCGCTTGACATATTTCCTGCTTCCTCAAGCGTTTTCAGAGTTTCTATTTGAGTTTTCCAGAGTACATCACAAAATTGTATCGTTATCCGCTGCTTCGTGACGTTCTACGACGTCAGCTTTTTACCTTTCTCAATTATGACTACCTATCCTCTGAAATTAGTTTCTTTTCCACGAAGCAAACTATTTATTCATAATTTGGAATATGAAACGTTGTAACAATTCTTAATGTTAACGTTCAGAATTTTTTTGGTTTTGAGCCATTTTGAAAAGGATAATTTAGTGTATTGTTTGTAAATTACTAAATTTGAATAAGTTTGAAATAAATCACGATATCTTTAAAATTTTTAAAACAAATCACTTGAATTTATTGTTAAACATTTCTACCAAGTTTGGATATAATATGACGTTAAATAAAAAAAAAGATATGGCGTAAGTCCGCGAACTTTCCGAACAACCCTCATTGATCAAATTGTACAAACCCTGATTGTTGTAGGTGGCTCTGATCTTAAGTCCAGTCAAGTTAGCCAGTATGGAGATAAAAGCCTGGGAGTTAAGTCTAGGAACCCACTGGGATTCCTGCCTCTCATTCAGTCTGTACTTAAAGGTTTTGGTTTCTATTGAAGGCTTGTCATTTCCCTGGACAAAGATGGCTGTGGAGAATTGCTGACCAGCTCCCTCAAAGAGGATGTCCACCACTGAGGGCCTAGAGTCCTCCTCCCCAATTCTCAGGTCAAAGGTCAGATGCTGATTATAACTGAATCTCTGGTCACCCAAGTAACGAGCTGAAAAGCAACAATAGTCATTTTAACAAGAATCTGTGTTAATATGATTGAGAGTTGACTAAAATCCATACAAGTACATTTTCATAAAAACAAATGTAAAAACTTGAACTACACATTTTAAGAACTGTGCCATTTTCAGTTGTTATTTATTCGTCTTTCTACACAGAGTAATGGACAGTTCATGTATGCAGAAAACTGTAGTCTACACATCATCTCAAGGTGTCAAATATATACATACTATAAGATTAAAAGGGGAGAATATATGATGCCTTCACCAATATTCATTTTTTTGTGAAAAAAATATGATCTTGCATGTAGCAACCAGCATATAACTTACAGAACATGTATCTAATACTGATAAAACAATGAACTTTTCGAATTCACTGACTATTCAAGAAGAAAATTTCCTTGATTTACATTAGTTTACATAAGAACAAAAACATATTTATGCCATTGACACAGCAAGGTCAATAACCTGGTGCTACGAAATACACTTGTCCTGATCCTGGTGCTGACACCTCCAGGTTCTGTGCATTATACTCAGTGGCAATCATATTGTTAGCTCGGTCTGCAGCTGTCCATCTTTGCTTTCCTGTTAATGATGACGTGGTTTTACAATCAACACAGATATTTCCAATTTTTGGTTTAAAAAAAAAAATCTGCTTCAAAAAGTTTTTAATAGAAAAAGATGTATTAGTTTCTAATTCTCCTTTCATTGAAAAGCATACCTGTCTCAAAATCAGAAATAATGCTAGAAGCATAGTATCCCACTGCACTAGAACACTCAGAAGAATGACCGTAACAGAAGCAGGGGATACAACCTTTAGGATCATCCTCCCTCAGAGCAAAGTAACCCAGCTTACACCTAAAAGACAATGAATATATCAAGGGAATGAATACATCAAGGTAGACTCTTTACTGAGTTTTTAAAACAATAACAGAAAAAAAAAAAATAAAATTGGACTCATTCTTAACATTACATTGATCAAATACATGTAATATAATTCCATATGTACTTTTTATGTTAATTAAACATTACATGATCCGCAATGCAAATTTAATTTTCTCATTCTTAAGTTTTACATGAAGGTCTTTTACCACATTATATTTCATTACCTGTCACAGTTGCGACCATCGACATTTTCTTTACACATACATGTCCCATCCAAGGGATTACAACTAGGAATGTGATACTGGCTTCCACTGGCTTTACATCCACACGGCCTGTAAAATACAAATGATAAACTCTACAGACAAAAACCAAATACAACGTCTCTAAAATAGATTGGCATCACTGGCTGTTTTGCATATTATTACTTTTCATTCAAGACTTCAAAATTAAGTTGATTATGTAAGAAATATATTTGATTTTAAGAAAAACTGATGAAACTGAAGCCAAATAAGGGAAAGTGAAAGTAAAAACAGATAATCAAGCACAGAAATCCCTTAGCACCGTTATGGGAACAAAAAATTTTAAATTCAATTCTCTGCCAACATACCTGCATCCAGCCTGTCCAAAATCATAGTAGTTGTTTTTGCACCAGTCACATTTGACCCCTATGACCCCTGGTTTACACTGACAACGACCTGCGGCGTCACACTGTAGAATCTCAGAGCCTTGCAATAAATATAGAATCTCGATCAAAATCACTACCCAGAAACATCATAAAGCTCTGAATTGCACATGAGTCTATATGTTTGAAATCTTTTTAGTCATATGCCAAATCTAGACTTATAATCTTCCAAAAATGATTTTTGCTTTCTCATTATTTAAAACTGTATACAATAGCTACATGTACATTTTACGAGTTGACTCGGATTCCCTTCTTAGTTTCCTTTTTTTGTGGGAATGACAAAAAAGGTTCTAGAGTACTAGTCATACACATATTCATTTAACAGTATTTAATTCTTGCTGAATCATAAAAGGCATCCAAAAAAGATTTGCTACTTACATCTTGATTTTTCTCGACAATAAATACACACTAACCAGTGGTGTTACAATCACAGGGGGTACACTTCCGATCCTCAGGTCTGAGGTAGTGGTTGTCCTTGCACTCCTCACAGTGAGGTCCGTCTGTGTTGTCGCGGCAGTCAATACAGTGACCCCCACTACCCGTTCTCTGGTAAAGTTCCAAGTCAAAGAAACACTGGTCTGTCTTGTTGTTACACTCACAAGCTGTACAGAAAGGAAAACTGTTGTTGATAATGATTGTTGGTGAACATCAAGGAACTATTATTTTTTCTCTTTTCGTCAGCAGTATTTTAGTGTGTATCAACATGATAAAAACCCAATAATCTGTTTGAGTTTCTTGCTGACCTCAGACACATTTAAACAAAACGGTGTAAATGTTTTTTTTTTTATTTTTTATTTTTTTTATTTTTTATTTTCAGCATATAGACCCCCTCTGAAAAGCAAACAAGTTTATTTCTATGTCTCATAACTTTTGCATTTAAACTTCATACCATCAAATAAGAATGTATGCAAATAATATCAATTTTTCCCTTCAGTTTGAATCACGGAGTCAGTTTGATGACAGGCTTGGAGTAAAATATGGAGGATTGAGGCTCCAAAATGGAGTGTCACATAATGCAAGGGGTGTGGCCTCGTTAATTAACTGTTGCAAGGGTTGGGGAATCCTGTTGCAATTTTAGCACTTGCTTATTAGATCTGTCAATTCAATATCTTATTTTCCATGAGAACTTGTTAGAATGTCACATTATCCAAACAATTAAAAGATAAATCCTTTGGAGTTGACTGGATAAATTATTTCATGCCAAAACTCAATTTTGTGTAGACCATTTGAAAATTGATTTATAGTATGTTATGAGAAACAGGTAGGAAACAGTGAAACAATTTATGACCTTCGCTTGTCAACAACGGGAACGGATTTCCTTTTTATTTAAATGTTTAAAATAAGAGAAATTGAATGAAACCGAAACAGCGCCAAAATATCCTTAGTGCATTGTTGTCATTTCTTTCCTCAAAGAATGAGAAATGATCAAGAAACAACAAAACGAGATTCAATCCAAAAATAACCTCTATAAAAAAAAAAGAAAACAAAAGGGGCATACAGCTTGTGCTTCTGATTTAAATTTTGTTTGATGAAAGATGCTTAGTGCAAGGGAAACATTCAACTTTGATAAAATTTATGTTCTGTGCTGCTATCCCACAGTATCTCATAAAGTCTTGACAGATTTAATTAGGTCTAATGGTCCTAAACCGAATGAAAGATAAAATAAGCAATTTTTTTTAAAATTGAAGCTCCACCCCTTGCACTGTGACACTCCTCCGCATTTTACACGAAGCCTTCAATAACATGCCCCCCCCCCCCTTCCCCCGCAAAAAAAAAAAAAACTGATTTTGACATCATGCATTCATTTTTCTAATGAATAAATCTTGCCCATGTCAAGACATGTTCAAAACAAATGCACATCTTCTCCCCCAAAATTCCAGACAACCTCCTCCTGTCAAATTAGATTTTCATTTGCTCTCTTATCATACAACATGAAATCCTAATCCTGTATGTATGTGTGCATGTAGAAAAATAAAACAGAGGTCCAAGGGCCTAAACAGTCATCTGAGTATATTAATACAACAAAGTAAAAGGGTCCACAGAATTATAAAACAAGGGCACTGCAAAGCGGAGCATCCCCTCGCAAAAGAACATGTCAATCCTGATATGAATTATTACTTGGAATGCTTAACTTTTGTGATGCATCCACTCACGCATCCCACCCCCAACATATATCATCTCCAACTTCGTTGCGAGGGTATTTTCTTTTATTTTATTTTTTGCAAGGGAAACACAATTTTACCTTTTGTATTTTCCTTGGAAAATACTTTTATAATTCTAAGTAAATAACCAGAAGTCTCTGATGAGACTGTAGCTCTACTGGTCTGTATGTATAGCAAAAGAAAAGTAGCACTGGGATTTGAAACTTTGCAACATGCAGCAATAAATAGAATTATGTACCTTAATGTAGTCTACTTGTGTGCCAAGTTATATTGAAATCAAACAAAAACCGTAGGAGGAGTAGCATTTTGAAAGTATTTCACAGAAATTTCTATTTTAAGTAACCATGACAACACCACTTACTGAAATCAAAAACCGATAAATACTATTATGTATCGTAGTGTATGCTAATTGTGTGCCAAATTATATTAAAATCAAACCAAAACTGTAGCAGGAGTAATGTTTTAAAGGAATTCTACAGAATTTTCTATATAAAGTTACCATGGCAAAACCATGCATCAAAATCAATAACTAATTCATCAAATTATGTATCTTAGTGTAGTCTACATGTGTGCCAAAATTTATAAAAATTAGACCAAAACTCTAGCATGAGTAGCGTTTTAAAGGAATTTCACAGTAATATGTATTTTAAGTAACCATGGCAACAGTGCTCATCGAAATAAAAAAAAAAAGATAAAGGAATTTTACAGAAATTACTATTTTTGTAACCATGGCAACACCATTCATCGAAATCAAAAACCGATGCACTAAATTATGTATCTAAGTGTAGTCTGCTTATGTGCCAAGTTATATGAAATCAGACCAAAACTGTTAGAGGAGTAGCGTTTTGAAAAATTGTTTACAGACAGACGGAGACAGACACTAGACAGAATGACGGACGGACGACGGACACCTTACTATCGCATAAGCTCTTTTGGTCTCTGACCAGTAGAGCTAAAAAATTTACACAAGGTGATTGGCCACTTCACTGTAAGGGGCAAGCTACATGTATCTAGCTAAATATACAGTGATTATAGAAGAGCTGTTAAGAAGTACATGTAATTGTTTACATGCTTAAAAATACCGACAACAATCGTGGATGCGTACACCTATAATTGACGACTTCACTGTATGTAGGTAATTCAAGCTACATAGCTAAATATGCTGTTAACAAAAATTTCAAACCCGATTGCACACAACTCAATTATAACTTACACTTGGAAAAGCAAAATACTGATTGGTATATTTTATTATTCCCTTTTTCGGTATATATATTTATATATATTAAGGCAACATTCTATCCTGGTGCAAATTACGTCACCTCCGTTTTACACAAGGACAAATTAACCCACCCAGTAACTAACACATACGCAAATAGCGCGTTACTATATCCCCTCTGCAACTCCGTTGTGAGGGGATAATAAAACAAAAACAAAAAATAAAAAGACATTGACCGGAACGGAGCTTGACAGACTTTCTGTTAAGACTAAAACCAATTCCGGCCCTATAGGTAGGCGCTCCATCTATAATGAAGTGTACCTTTCCAAGGAAATCTTACGTTTGCATTCATTAGCACTGGTTTCTGTGGCCCTGGCCCAAGGTTTATTGTTGAACATTGGGAGACATTTCTCACAGTTGACCCCGTCTGTGTTGTGTTGACACCTGCAAACCTCCCTTCTCTCAAAAGTGGGTGCGGATCCCTGTCTCAGGTAACACTCATCGGCATGACCATTACATTTACACCTGAGTAATATTTGAAAACTATCATCAAATTTAAAAGAAACAAGCAGTTACACTTTAAGCATAAACATATTATAGATGCCAATGATTAGTATATACCTTAATCTCTGAAATTCATGACAGAACTAATCTACATCATATGACACTCTCTATCATTTTTGAAATATGAAATATTCTGAAAAAAAAGTTTTTCCGTGGGGGGGGGGGGGGGGTCCCTACCACATTCTTGAGGGGAGAAAAACATCTGTTCCAAGATTTTTTTTTCATATTGACAAGTTTGCAAAACTCAAATTCATTCACTAAAAGAATAAGCTACAATACATGTATGTACTTGGGCTGTGCAGGATCAGTTAAGAAGATCATGAAGCAAGTGCAACCTCTCAAATTTCTATAATGTATAAAAATATTCATCAGGAAATTCTCATGCACATTTTTCTGTTGTTGTGTTTATACCTTTTAATTAAAATGACTTGAATTTGACACATGAAAACTAGCTTTCATTCAAAAACACAAAAGGGTCATTCAACCATGTTAACAAGATTTTTGAGTTTATGTTTTCGAGATGGATCACATGATTTATAAGTGAAAATATGACCCACTCTCATTGTTAACATCTTGATTCACAATAACTTAAAATGGAAATAAAATTTATCATGCTGAAAATTTTTTGAAACTTTGAACAAAAAAAAAATATCATACAGGTACAGTACCTGGCTCCCACAGAAAAATCAGAGATGGCGTAAAAATAGGATTTCAGGACTTTTGCATCACCGAATACTTCATCACCAAAGGTGTTCATGCGTGTCAAGGAAATTCGAATGGCAGTAGCTGTTACCCATTCCTGCAAAATAATAAATCATCACTAGCAAAATTTTTCATCAAAAATTAATATCGTAGTTGATTTCATCCCCATTTTCTTATCATTACATAATGTGCAGGAATTGAAACAACATATTTTTTCTTTAGATTTTAATTCTGAAAATTCAATTCTCAGTCGGGATGATCTTTTGAGATGACTCCTGATAATTCCAGCTGACTGGAAAGTAGCATATGTTAACAGTGCATCCAGTGACCTTCTTTTCAGATGGACTTCCATAAAACATAAAATTTACACTAGCTTACTAGCTGATATTTAAAACTGTCCAAGACACCTCCCATACTTCACTGCTGTTGTTTTAGTTTTATACAATTAATCCCTGATTGAGTAAAAAGCTCAAAAATAACGGAGACCATTTTTCTCAGACCTGAGGAAATCAAGATTGTAAATTACTTTATATATATATATATATATATATATATATATATATATATATATATATATATATATATATATATATATATATATATATATATAGTTATAGTTATATATATATATATATATATATATATATATATATATATATATATATATATATATATATATATATATAATATATATATATTTACATACACATGATACACTTATCTAGGAATGCCAAAACATAAACAATATTCACTTTTTTTACAGTACATTGGCTACCACTAATCATGTAATACAACTAATAAAGAATATTTACATTCAGTGTTATTTTCTTTATAAAATCAATAGGAAATATACAACATTTAATACCATATAACACAGCAAAACCTTGTCACTGCGAGATAGAATACACAGTAGGAACTATATGCATTTTCTATACTTTGAAACACTGAAATGAATATTGTTTTGGCTCAATTTAATTATAAACAAGTAACCTTTTGAATTATCATACAAATATAACAATAATATTGTACATTTAAAATTAGTCATTTTCCACTCGCAATATTCATTTGCGTTATTTAAATTTCCACGTCTCAACTGCTCACTTTCCAAGTCACAACAGCTCAGCTTTCGTCTATTAAGCACAGTTTTTTTTTTCTGAAAGGCCCTTAATTCATTAAAAGGAATAACGAAATTAACAATTATGAAGAGAGAAATTAGAGAATGTAAATAAGAGCATTGAATTCTTATTTTTGGATGCTCGTGCCGACAAATTATTATACCGAGCGTTAGCGTTAGGACCTACGACATCAAAAAATAGGAATTCAATGCTTTAAAAAATGTTTTATGACCGGCCGGGTGTCATTATTTGAAGAAATTTGAATCTACAATACTTGATGATGCTTCTATATTTATATGACTAATCATGGCTTTGCTGTTCTTAAAAAAGATGATTTTTACAGATTTTTTCCTACAAATTCAGGTGAGTTAAAAAGAGAACAACTTTAACAAACAGGTAAAATGCCCTCTTTGTAAAGGTCAGACTTAAAAAAAGTCTCATTGAAATAAGAATGTAAAGGAGAAGACAAATAAAGAATTTCACACTTTCAATAAAATATTCATCCCTTATCACACCCTTGATGTTGTTTTTATCTACTCTGGTAATGCCCCTATGCACCCCTTTTATAAATTATATCTTTATCATTACAGACCACTCTTAGAATGTCCAGCCGATTTCTTTTGACTACAAATCTTTCTGAGGTCTTCACGTTTCTTTCTCCCTAATAAATATTTCTAAATACATCTGAAGCAAACATAACTTCTGGGCCAAAGCCTGTGTGAACTGCTAGGTGTAACAGACTGTACATGTACAGCGTAGATCTTATTTGTCTTATGCCATATATCTGCGATCTTTTAGATGTATACTACACTACACAACCTACAGTACATATAGTACATAAAATATATATCTGATGAATTCTCTCTCTCTCTCTCTCTCTCTCTCTCTCTCTCTGCATTCTACGCATACATTTCTAAACTTATACATATCTCAGAGGTCAAAACTAGAGGTACTGTGAGCACTGAGCTCACTAAATGATACCCCCGTCTCCCATATGATTACAATGGCAAAGTCCATGTTTTGCCCTGAGAGACCCGAAATAAGTGTCAGATCAAAAAGTAAAATAGGAGGTGCACAATGGCACTATGTAACAAAGATTCTGCGAAAGTCTCATTAAATTTCATTCAGTGGTATGAGGAGTTGCGGATAAGAGATAGGTACCCCAAAGCGTAACAGACGGACGGACGTATAGAAAGACGGGTGGACGGACGGACGGACACCCCGATCACTACATGTATATACCCTCCCACTTTTCAAGCGGGGGTATAATAAAGCTAATTTACACAAATTAGTTACACTTGCCACATTTAACATTGTTACTATTTTACGTCAAATAAACTTCGTTCTATTCTTCTTTAACAAATATTACAAGCACTTGACATTTCAAAGCTGGCTTGTTTGTATTAAATATATATGGAATAAAAAAATAATCCTTTGTAGTCTTGAAGTTCATTTTCTTAATTGCTTTTGAAGATGTTAAGTATTTGCAGTTTAGTGAATGACATTCATCTTCAAGTGTAATGCTGTGCACTCTTTGTTAATCGCTCCCAAACGAAATCTTTTTTTTTAACAAACTACCAATAAACTATTCTTTTATGATTTGTTAAAATAATTTGATAGTATAGCATTTAATGGAACACTAACATAGCACTGTTTCTAAAAATAACTTCAGTGGTTTGTTAGTCTTTCACCTCTGCTGATAGTTATTTCTTTATAGTTTGCTGGACTTGGCATCTTGCAAGAGTGTTTTCTTATTATAGCATGTGCATCTAACCGCATAGATAATAACTTATCAGACATGTTTAGGGATGAATTATCTACAGTAGTAAAAGTTTCCAAGAGCTTATCTCTTTACATCCGGTGTTAGACTATTTGTGCCAATTTTCAAATCAGCAGCAGGTCAGAAACAAAGAGATTGGAAAAGGGACATACAAACTGTTACTTAAATATTAGGACCCTGGTTAGAGAAAGCAGCAACACTATTAAAGCATGGAATGATCTGGATACTGAAGATGTATTTACTGTATATTCCTAAATATTCGCGAGGAATAAATTATCGAGTAATTTCGCGAGAAGCATCACTCGCCAAATAAAGTTACTTGCTTTTATTTTTATGATGCTGAAATCCATATGAAACCTTTTGATCAACCGTCCACTAGAGAATTATGATGTCAAAGAGCCATTTCGCAATATCAAATATTCGTCAAAAATAAGGAATCTACAGTTTTGCATGACATTAAGTTCTTTTTTATCTCACATAAGGCTGGACTATAGTAAACTTGAATGTGGATTGTTTTTATTGGATTTTTATTTATTTTCAGATTGACTTATAATCCCTTTACTAGCTTATAGCTTAGATCAGTTAAGCACTGAATTATATAATGAATACTTGAAAATTAGACAAGAAAAAGATCTTACAGATTACATCAAGGCCAGAAAAAAGATAATGCTGCATTTTCAATCATTTTGTAAAATGAAGCAGGGGATATTTTTTTTTATAAAGTCCTGACACACCCTTAGGTTATAAACAATCTTTGTGTAAAATGGGAACTCACCAAGTTTATCCATAAGAAAAACCCGACACGAATTATAAACTTTTTCTTTCAGTGACTTTGAACTTGCACAAATGATCTGGATTCAAGTTTTTATGGTAAATTGATATAATAACCTGTAGCAACCTTGACATTAATATCAAATATTCCCCGACCTTTGACTTTGTCTGCTGGATAAAGCGTCTTTGCTTAATACACTTTAGTAATGGAGACACAATCTTGGCACTGGACATACAGAATCCTTTTCATTGTATAATTTTTCTGATCTACTCTTTATTGAATGCATTTTACAGATGATAAGAATAATAATATCAGGGGAGTAGCTCCAATTGTGGCAACTGCCTCATTAGATTTCTCAGCAACATCCCTTAATACATTGCAGAAAATATTTGTTTTAAAACTAATGGTTTTTATCCCATGTTTACCCCTTTATCCCATGGATATCACTCATTGGATTTTTTTTTTATATTTGATAAAAGGAATGTCCCGTGATTTGTGATTGGATGTGATTTTTATCCAACATGTGTGTTTTTTTCCCCTCGCCAATGCCCAGGGATAAAAAAAAAACCACACAACTTGTTGGATAAAAATCATATTCAACCATTTATCATGGGAGATTCTATATATATAAATTAACATTTAAACTAATCTATAAAATGTATTTTCATATAAAATTAACAAGCATTCTGAGAGTATTGCATTAGCAATACTAGTCCCCTACCGGCAAGTGTAATCTGGTTCCCGTTAACAATTGAAAATGCCATAATTCCGCCAAAAATTAATGAAGTGGGACGAAATGCAAACTTGATCTTTAACTAATCAAGGTAAAGCCACATACCAAAAATCAGCTCAATATCTACAAGCGTTTAGAAGAAAATTGTGGAAAACCCTTAAAAATTGAAAAGGCTGTAATTCCGTCAAAAATCAATGAAGCGGAACGAAATGCAAACTTGATCTGTAACTCATCAAGATACACTCACATACCAAAAATCAGCTCAATATCTGCAAGCGTTTAAGAAAAAAGTGCGGAAAACCAAGTGGGACAGACTGACAGACAGACAGAGGGACAGACAGACAGACGGACAGACAGACAGACAGACGGACAGACAGACGGACGGACAGACTCAGAGGAAACCTATAGTCCCCTCCGGTTTCACCGGTAGGGGACTAATAAAATATGTATTGTAGGTACGTTATGTTGCATTTCCATAGCAAAGTCTAAATAGTGCCTATATTTCTTTATAACAAGAATAAAAAAAGTAAAATGTAAGTATAAGAAATAAAATATCATTTTCAGAGTTTCATCGGGATATGACAGTATAACGTCATTTGGGCATCATAGAATTTGATCACCTGACCGACTTCATGTCATATCCCAATGAAACTCTAAAAATGATATTTTATTTCTTAAATGTGTTAGAAGAACATGTTGAAAAAAACATTTTATATTTAATATATTAAACCTTTTTTAAAAAAATTGCAGCATCTAATGATTATATGCAAACTGAGGTTTGAATATTGAAACTGGTAAACCTTACGAAATTTCTGTCCAAGACAAGTATTATTTTTACATTCTAGGCCTAAAACCCCTACAATGCATTTTTCTTCCGATGGCTTCGCCCCCTGAACCCCCCCCCCCCTTCATGGTTCCTCCCTGGACCTACTGGGGGCCTAAGGTGCTCCCCACACCCCCGACTGCAAAAGTTTTGCCTCACTAGAATTTTAAGTCAAGCTAAGCCCCGGAATATACCTACAGTAATCGTTAACACACAAGATTGTTGTGCTTACCTTGTCATTCATTTTGTAAACACTGAAAATGCAGCACATTACAGAAGTTGTTGAACGTGAATGAATCGCTAAAATGTACATAGAAATAATTCCCATATTCTTATTATTTTAACCGTTCACGGTAGCTCAGTCGGTAGAGCGCTCGCTCCGTGATCGGGAGGTCGTGAGTTCGAATCTCGGCCGCGACAGACCTAAGTCGATAAAAAATAGGTAGCAACTGTTCCTTTGCCATGCGCTCGGCACTTTGAAGTGAAAGTTGCGGGTCCTTCGGATGAGACCTTAAAAACCGAGGCCCCGTGTCACGGCAGGCGTTGGCACGATAAAGATCCATCACTGCTCAATGGCCCTGAGTGCCGAGTAAAGGTCAAAATTTGAAGCCCTTCACCGGTATATGGTGACGTCTCTATATGAGTGAAAAATTCTCGAATGGGACGTAAAACAATATACAATCAATCAATCAATCTTATTATTTTGTTCATCATCTCTGACATTTCATTAAAGCGAAACACCCTGAATTAATGTTGAGATCCCGGGTTTCTGATCGAACACGGTGAAAATGAAGCTGTTTACCGATAAACCGGAAGTGCATACATTTATACTTCTGATTATATTTTAATGAATCTAATTCACTGAAAACTCCTAGAAGTATTGCTTTTTTTTATTATTTTAATAAGAATGACCATTTAAGACTGCTTAAGAATTGTTTTCAACTTAGGTTTTGTTTTACGACTTATGCGCGTCATCATGCGCATAAGTCGTAAAAACAATCTTGTTTGTTAACGATTTAGGGTTGTAGATGGACTAAAAAAATCCTTTGAAAAATATTGAGCGCATTTGCTTATATTTATTGAAATCTGGATTTAATCTTAAATGTCAATTGAAGAAATACGAATCTAATTTTAAATAATATTTCTAACTATTCTTTATAATTAGTTAATAAAGTCTATAAAAAAGGTGTTTGAAGAAGTATTTTTGTGATTTTCTATATTCTCCTCATAACCATGTACCCCTAAAAATGACTGAAAATTATAGTTGCAGGGTATAGTAATCATTAGCGGCTGTACTTCATTAAATAAAAGGAAACATGCCGTGTATTTTTAACTGATTAATAAGCAAGTGCTAATTATTCATTTTGAAAATCCTGTGACAAAGACTTTTCCGATATAGGTTCTGCCTTAAATATATATCCGTATTGCATATCTGCATATGCATCAGTCCTCTTCAAAGCATTTTAAGACAGCTAAATTTTATTTACAAGGTTTAATGTTTAGAAAGCATTCACATACCAATGTGATTATGTGCCGTGGCAGCAATAGCATCATGATTATAAAAGATTGCCAATTTTTAAAATTTACTTTTATTTTTTCAATTATATTTTGCCTGCTCTTTGCGACTCATAGCTTTGTATTTTTCAAACAATTACATGAATTGTCAAACTTGTAACTCAAGTGAACACCAGCAATACTCAAATCCTGATATTCTTCTATTACTCATTTAAAAATTAAGAAAAGAAATATATTGAATCTACTCCATGAAAATATGTACTGCATATATTACATACACACCTGCAGTAAAGTACTATTCTCAAAATCAAAAGCACTGGGTCGTCCCTCCAAAGTACTGAATGGCACTATGCCTCCTTTCAGGGGGGAGATGTTACTGTACTCATCTGTACAGATTGCCTTCCCTTCATTCTTTTTTGTGATTATACCCCGCTTTTCCTTTCCATACGTCCTTTCACAGGAACCACTGTAAAACTGGTAGGGAGTCCAGTCACTATCGTCTGTTGATTTCTTGTAGATGGCAAAACTTTCTGGTCTTGGGGAATGGAAACGTAGCCTTACGTAGGTTACATCATAGGCTTTGTCTGTTTAAAACAATAGAAAAGGGGTTGAGTTATTGTAAAAGCTTTTAAATGTATGCATATATCAATTGCATTGCTATGTGTAAACCTTTATAACGTACGGATTTTCAGAGAGAGATATGCATGGTAATAATCTCAAAAAGATGTACTTTGATTGAATACGAGACTGAATGACGATATTAACCATGATTAACCGTATTACTAGTTTCTGAATCAGATCAATCGCTTTATATTTATTTTGTTATTATAAATCAAAATAAACAGATAAGAATGTTTAGACAACTTGACTGCTGTTGTTCAAGTGCGTTGGCTCTCTCTCATACACACACACGTGCATTTCTTGTATACCATTGCATGAACATGTAATTGAAAACAAAGATCAGGGATGAAAAAGAAAAAAAGCAAGATAATTTCATTTATTCTGCATATTTTCCTTTAAATTATATGATACACTTTGAAGAATATGTTCATGCATAAGGACAATCTCTTTTCTAATTCAGCATTCTGGGGAAGCCTTTCTAGATAGTTTTCATGGCACATTCTAGCAAGTTCAGATGTGGACCTTTTCTTCTTCAAAGGTTGTTGCTGTTGCTCGATCTCGGGATCCGTATCATCATCTGCATCAGATACTGGTATTGCTTGTTTTCTATCTGGTTGATAGCTTGTTGATGCGGGGTTATTGGTTGGAGTTGCGGTATCATATTTTATCTGGCTTACTACAATGTGCAGCAGAATCCCCAGAATCTTCCACCGCGGACGGGGCGTCCGTGCAGCTTTTAAATGTCACACTCTGAAATAAATTTCAAAATTTAATCTCTTTCATGTTAGTTAATACATGTAATTATTCTAAAAATTAAAAATAGTATTTATTTTAGACTTTGAGAACTGGTTGGGGTGAAAATGAAAACATTTTGAATAATTATGGAGTAAACAAAGAAAACATGAAATATATTTATGGGGTTTCAAAAAAAACCCTGATAATTATCGGTAAATTTCTAGTCACTATGAAGTTTTATGTTACCATTCTATTTAAGAAAATATTGCTAAATAGTACATGTATATGTATTATGTATATGTTAGAAAAAAAGACCCTCGTTTTGATCGTTAAATGTCGTAAATAGCATATAAAACTACCATTAATATACATTTCCCTTAAATATGGACGAAAGAAAACAGCTTTTTCTGCTGGTAGCTTTCATGTTTCTTCAGTTCAGACGGAATGCTTTAATTCCTTGCTTTACGAAAAATAGTCGCAAAAGGCTATTTCTAATGATTCAGCTAATCATCAGTTTATCTTCAGTACAAAATTCATTGGACGGTACCGTTTCCTTATACAGAAAACAAAGAAGGGATTGGGTCCCTCCTTGTCTTAAATTTGTGACGCCAATATATGTCTTCCTCACGTCACCCTCCTCCAAGCGATACTTTCAAAACAGAGTCCAGAATATTGCAGAAAACCCTGCTATGTGAGTCCCAAGGAATACTTACTGAGAACTAAGGTCGAGGCCCTTTGAGGTCTGGATACTGAGTTGTGACACAGTTGATTCATTTCTAGAAATAATGAATCGAGTTTTCTTACACATTGAGCTGCATGGAAACCTGAGAAGTGGGCAGTAAATGGAGTTCTAATAACATTAATATGGCTTAGGCATTACCCAACATATCCAATGTTTTGGATTCAGAATTTCGCTGGCCAACAATAGAATGGTTATCCATAGGAGATCCAGGGGACAACATGCAAAACGTAGTACTAGGCACCATACGGAACCTCACATGAGATTTACATTCCATAAACGGAGCCTCAGCAGGAATTTTATAGTGGACACAAAAAAAATATCACTGTATCCAAGCAAATGAAAGAATTTAAAAATGAATATTTGTGAATTATAATTCAAATTTACATTTATATTTATGTTCACAATATTACAGGTAATACAAATTAAAAACATCCTGTTTAAAAATGCGTGTTTTACATGTTCTGAGAATTCCATTAGATTTGAACATTCGGAATACCTTGGACATGAGAATGATGCTCATGCATATGCTAATACCCTTGAGATAGGACCAGAACAAGAGCTTGATTTTCCAGTAGGACTTTTTATTTTAGCAGACAGTGGATATTCTCAAACTGAGCCACTTATAACTTCATACAAGACCGCTGACATCATTCAACAACCAAGAGATTAAAGACGTCGTCGAAAAAGTTTAGTATACGTCATCGATCAAAAGATCTTTGCGTTGAACATTAAAGATGTAAAGACGTTCGGGGTGATCGGATCCTTATATTGACACTCCTACATGGGAACTTGCATCTATTGTTGAACTATGCTCAACTCTTGTAAAGCGTTGTATTGATAATTATTACCACCTATAATACTCATTATCGTTATAAACAAAGGCCATCCTTTGATATAGTATGTATCAACGTTCATTTAATTTAACCAAAGCCTGACGCTAGAGCCTGAACATATGCATGTCAATATTATTTTCCTGATGCATGCTTGTTTTGTTATAACAACAATTAACAAAATCAAAAACGTTGCCCGCGTGGCGCAGTGGTTAGAGCATTTGCTCTAGACTCGCGAAGTAAGGAGTTGATCCTTACGTCACGGGTTCGAATCCCACTGCTGGACGTGGAGACCTATCCTTCGGATGAGACCGTATAAACCGAGGGCCTGTGTCGCAGTAGGTGTTGGCACGAAAAAGATCCATCATGATCACTGCTCAATGGCTCTGAGTGCCGAGTATAGGTCCAAATTTGCAGCCCTCCATCGACAAGTGGTGGCGTCTCCATGCAAGTGAAAAATTCTCGAGAGGGACGTTTAACAACAAACAAAAAAGAAACAAAAAAAAAAAAAAAAAAAAAAAAAAAAAAAAAAAAAAAAAAAAACCAAAACGGAACACCAAAATGATATACTAATCAAATTGACAAATTATTTTTCTATACGTCTGATTTTTCCGTACATTTCGTCAGTTACAGATGTAATCACAAAGTAAACAAGTTTACTGTTCGTAACACAGATATTCGTTCGTAACGTGTTTAATGTTCTCTAGTGATAGTAACTCAATTATATGTATGTCAGGACACATTTTAAATAGCTTGTATCCAAGAAAGGATTGAGGTGACTGAGGTAATAAACAGCAATAAATACAGACCCTAAAATGCGCTACTACACCTCAGAAACAAAACGAACCGTTCCGTGCAAGAAGCGTACTGCACCGTACACAAAACGAAACGAACCGTGCACAAAACGAAACCTACCGTTCAAAAAACGAACCGTATCGTGCACAAAACGAAATGAACCGTGCAAGAAACGAAACGAACCGTGCACAAAACGAAACGAACGGTTCACAAAACGAACAGGACCGTTCAAAAATCATTTTTGAAATAATTATGCAAGCCACGCCCCAAAAGTGTTTCGAACCGTGCAATGACCAAAGTTGTACAATTCTCTTTTATACTTAGACTTTCAGTACGGCGTGGCATTCTCGACGCTACATAATTAGCGTCTCCCAAATGGTGATCTAGATTCTCATTGGTTGCTAGCTCATCAATATTCATAACATAACACAAACAAGTAGAATGAAGTCAGTTCGAATTATTTTGTATTATTTCACGAAATTGTGGAGTGTTGATCATTTATTTCCGTGTGTTGTCATCAGTTAGAGTTTGTATTTCAATGACATTTTAAAAAGAAATTCATAGTTTTTGATGGCAATAAACAGTTCCTCGCGAGGGAGCACTTACGCTGGAAAAAAATTAGGATCCTGCATAGCAGATGTAAACTTGGATGGTCATTCAACAAACACTTTCCAATACGTAGGTTCATCGAAGTCAGGTCCGTAGCAATACTTTTTAAAGTAAAGGGGAAGCTCAAAAATGACGAGAGAGAAAGAGAGAGAGAACTACCTAAACTGCCCCAAGTCCAATTAAAAACACTTAATTTAGCATTTATTTGAAAGGAATCTACCAACACTATATGAAATACCTCGAAGTTAACATTTTAATATCATTACGACGTTGAAATTTTTATGACTTTTCATGAGGGGCTACCGTCGTGTACATGGTGATTTCCAACGGCTTCCTTCAAGTCGAGTCATATTAAAATGTCATCGAAAAGGCTTAAAAGAAGCTTTGAATTGAAATAATATTGATAACTTCCATCAAACACCAAAAAAAAAAATCTGTTACTAAATTTCAATATATTTATCTAAAGATCTAGTCACACATATACAATCATACTGCATACACATACCCCTCAACTCCCGGTCTCTCACCATTTTACACTACTATTTTATCTACAATGCTAGAGCTTGGTCTGATCGTCATTTTTCAAATTTGATTTAGAATTCGGTCAAATTACATAGAACGACAAACTAAAACTTACATAGCTTTTCACGGGTGAAATTTACTTGGGATAGAAAGTCGGGCAAATGTAAACGAGTGTAGCAAGGAATCAATGACAGGTTTCTTACAATAAGGCGGTGGATCTTATGTCATTTCATCGTTTTGTCAACAACGATCTAAAGTTGCTGATGTTATTGTCCCTCGTTTTCATGAAAGCGAGAGGACATTAAATCTCATTCGTCTGTCCGTCTATCCGTCTGTCACAAATACTTTAACCTTGGCCATAACTTTTGAATGAGAAGAGATAGGCCTTTCAAATTTCACATGTGCATTAACCTGTGAAAGACCTTTGACTTACTTTTTCAAAAATATTAACATTACTTAAAATTGGCCATAACTTTTGAAAAAGAAAAGATAGGGGTTTCATATCGCAGGTGTGTTAAGGAAAACTCAGATATTCTGACTTGACTAAATCCCTTGACCGTGATCAGTGACGTCATAATAGTCAATTTTCGAACAACAAGTTTTATTTATATTTGTATTTAGAGATGTTATCAAACTCCCGAAAATGAATAGAAACATGCAAATATAAAACAAAAATAAAATGTTTTTAATTCGTTTTGTCGTACACTGTATCTGTCACTTGGATTAAAAT